ACAAGGGCTTCTGGGAGTGGAGGTCCCCACAAATAGGAGCTGAGGGAATGGGGGGGAATCAGGAGGCTTTCACATGTAAGTGGCACACCAAGCTCAAGGCAGGAGTCAAACCAGTATGGGCATAGGTGCTTTGATGAAAGATTATACAAGGATGCCCCTACATGATTTTGAGGTTGGTAGGGAGTGGTGTTGGTGATAGCATCACAATCTGTAATGGATGTACCTCCCATGGGGCACAGTCTATCCCAACTTTTTTTAAAATTATTTTATTGAGGCTCGTACAATTCTTATCACAGTCCATACATACATCCATTGAGTCAAGCACATATGTACACACCTGTTGCCCTCATCAATCTATCCCAACTTTTAAAAAAGAAAAAAGCCAAGTCCCTATAGTGCAGGTGAAGTCTGCAGGAAACAAAGACAGCAAAGGAAAAGAAAGGCAGTTCTTGAGTTCTCTCAATAGGGAGCAAATCTTGGGAGGCATGGAGGGTAATTTTATTTCACAACAGAAAGGATAAACTCTAAGTACAAAATCACAGGGAGACTCTACAGTGGTAACTCTTCTCCCCTATACACTTTCTTTTGTAGATTTTGCCCTCAGAGACCTATTTTATTTGTGAAACAATTGTACTAATCTGAACAATGAATGAATAAGCTGGAATAGGTGGGAGTTCATATGAAACATCCTATTTTGATACTGACCCTGCTTATTGTACACGGAGATAGATGTACTATTTTCCTGACATTAAAAATAAAAAGACACAACTTTGGCAGTAAACAGTATCAAAATGTGACGCTTACTATTTCTTGTTATGTCACCCATCTAGGTCTATACACCTTAAAAATAAACTTGTGAATTAGGTAGGAGTTATATTTGAATTTTCTTAATAGTTATTTTTTTAAATAAGTCTTAAAAATCTATGTAGAGTTTACCAAATTATACTAAAGTGGTAAGCTGGTAAAAGCAGCAAAACAAGGCTGGAAAAACCTACAATAGGAGATACTTGAGAATTGACTATGAATAAAGTGGTAGGATGCTTGGGATTTCATCTACATTAAACCAAAGGGAAATACTGTAGGTATGAACAACACAAAGAAAAGCCTCAATAAAAATTG